ATTTCGAAAAAACAAAATAGTTAATAATTATTTATAATTTATTTTAGTCTCAAATCTTATATTTATAAGCCGTTATTAATTATTTTTATCCTTTTTGTATTTATAACGAAAAGAAAATAATAATTATTACATAAAATTTATAATACTTGGGGCATATTGTTATGCAACATGAATGTTATTTAAGAAATACATTTACTTTTACGCTATTTATATAAGGTTAGCCCGCATGTGGTTCGGTAAGGGTGGTTTATAAGGGTGGGGGTTAGATAGGTTAGGGGTAGGTGAATAAGAGGTATGTGATTCAGCTGGGATAATTCGTTTATGGTGTAAAATTCAATTATTTCAAGAAATAACAAACGACTAAACTTGTTTATCTCAGGGTTAGGTGGATTAACCTGCTGATAGTTTGACGGGGGTGGTTTCTAGGGAGTGAAACACCCCTTAAACATATTTTTTTTTAAATCCGGAAACACGTCAATTTAATTTTGGTATTTTCTCATTATCAGTGCGATTTTTAAATCATTCGAGCTGATTTACTATATTACATGTCGTAAAACAGTATAAAAAATAGTGTATTTACCCCTATTAAAAAGGGGGTTGCAACCCTTCGGTATAAATGTTATGTCCTTAAAAGCTCCTTTTTATAAGAAATTTTTTAACGTTGAGTTTACTGAAGAATATTCATTTGATGCTGAGAAATATTAAAAAACTAATTTTAGGGGTTGATTTTCAGGGTGGATTTCACCCCTTAAAAGCCCTTATAGGCAGATAAAAAAAACACGTATCTAATTTTTTTTCAAGTACTACAACATATCCCAAAATCATTCAAATCGGTGAGGTCGGGTTGGGGTGGTTTCCTTGTAAGGCAAATGCTAGTGTTTACAGGATGAGAGAGCGCGACGCACATATAACGTACCAACCTAACGTTAGATCGGCCACGTCGATAAGAATCGAAAAGACTACATATTTGATCATTTCGGAAAAGGCGCTTATACAATTATGATAGAACTTTACTCACAGGTTCATTTAATCATGTAATTTTTATTATTTTCTTTTATTCGGCAGTATAACAACAGTATAAATAATTATTTTTCTAATGTGATGTAGGGCCAACAAATAATGACAAAATAGTAACGTTATTATAGTTATATAGTTATGTGACTAGTATTGGAAATACACTGTTTTTGCTCAAAAGCAGTGTTGCTGCATTCATTTCATTTATAATTGCTCTACTTGTAGAAACGTTACTTGCATACGTAGTGGTGGTATAAGTCCGAACTTGCTTAACAATTATGTGACGGGGGAGGCATCGAGGAAAATAATTCATTGAGTTTCTCCTTCCTTGCGGCTGTCACCAGTAGAGCAGCCAGTTAGTTTGCGGCTTTTCATTTTGTTGTTAAGCGCCAGCTACCGACTTTGCACGAGGAAGGCGGTTAGCGCCGCGAACCGACTGGTGCTGGGTTACTGTAAGCGGGAGGGCGGCTGCCTTGTTCAGTTTGCACTAGCCTCGCTGGCTACCTGTAAACATGGAAGGAGCGCAAAACCCCTAATCCATTCAGGAACAGGTAGTAAGAAAAGGGAGCTCCTCAGGCCTCCCTGGACAGTGAACGGTTGCGAAACGATTCCAGTAATCAAAGTGCTCGGCTTACGAACAAGATGGCACCGACGTTTCGACGAGCGCTAGCCTGCCCTTTGTGATCCGATCGCGATAGCTACGGAGGATGTGTAGGTTGTAGGTTACGTCAAAGAAGAGACTATTAATTGACTATTAATTAATAGTCTAATTGGTCATTAATGATTAATAGACTATTTATTAAGCCAAGAAAAAGGAAATTCAAACTTTCCACGGTCTGCCCAGGTCAATTTCCATCGCTATATGGAATTATTCGCTATCGGTCTGCGCTACTAATCCTTAAATCTTCAGCCACAATTTGTCTCACAATCCATATCACGCCTATTTGGTCAACGTATCAGCTATTTATTTGCGGTTTGCACGAGTTAATCGTGTCGACGCCATTCCCCATTGCGCAGCACACAAGCCATTTTTCTCTATAGGTGCATCGCGACGCGATCGCAACCCGCACTTGTGATAACTACAGGTCAGGTCGGCCGGTCGGCCTAGGAGCACTTGAGAACAAAAGGCGGGCCACGTACCACGCACCATTGATTAGTCGCGGGTCAATCGGTTTAGGTCGTGGGTTCACGAGGCTTATGCTGATTCGCGTACTCCCGACTACGATATAAACATAATGCGGTACTCACAGGTGATGTGTTATCGTCCGGTCCGACGGGGCTCTTCTTCTCTCTCTCTTCTTCACCGTGGCACACAAAAGAAAAAATATGACTTCTTTGGTCGCTTGTTTAAAGGTCCGATCCGGGCTTGGCTGCGACTTCCAGAATAGGCCGCGGCTAAAACGGTGTCGCGTCGCGTCTCTTTCGCTTCCCTTTCTTTTCGGTCGCGAATTCTTATCTTATTGGCCCTAGTGGTATTACTTCGATTATCAGCACCGTCTATTTCACTATTTTGTCCCGCGTAATTTTACTAGGTGATTAATTGGCGCCTAATTATTCTATTTGTCGGTCTACCCTTATCCTATTGGTAATTAGTCGGTCAAGGTGCGCGCGTCGGTCAATCTACTCGTTATTAGTTGCCTATCATCCGTCCTTTCCCTACCGATCGCTTCTACTAGTGTATCGGTATCCCCTCTCACGCCTCCTCTATCTGTTATCTCACTCGCACGCACACTCTCTCTTAGTTCCCGTTCGCGCCTATTCATGCGCCTACTCGGTCGTCTCGCTCTCGCTCCCTCCCCGCGCTCTTGTGCTCACGTTCGTCGCCGATCGTGTCACAACATGGCCCCGCATCGATGTCGCGTCTTAGACCCCGGTCCCATAGCTACGTATGAATGGCTGATCCACATAAACGAGCCCGATCGGACCTGACCCGACTTAGGGTCTGTCTCCATGAGTTCCCTCCCGGTCCTAGATTTTGTATGCGGACGCCATCTCTATCATTTCGAGTTCAATGGCGAGTTTCATACGGAATGCGAGAAACGCATCTATGAAGTTGCTGTATCCGTGGTTTGAAGTTTCCTGTGCTCAGTGCTCATGAAATGACTACATGTTCCCGCTCCAATTTTATTCAACGCATACGTGCAATTCGGTAAGTTGATAATTACAACTAATTCCTACATTTATTTGTAGAAAATTGCAAATTACAAAATGCCCAAAAAAGGTACGCTATCATAGTTATAATTGTTATATTCTTTGTATAGTCATAGTTATATTTCTTTGTGCTCGCTACAATGCTATTCTGAGACGCAGTTACTCCAAAATGGACGGCCATATTAAATAGTTTGTTCATTAATGCAAACTGTAACGTCTACATTAAAAATTTATGATAAAAAAATTTTGTGTGTATATATATAAATATTTTACATTTTGTGAATAAAACAGTTATGATTATAAATATATAAAACATAATTATTATTTCATTTTGTTTGCAGAACAATCATCGTTAACAAATGTATCACAGGCAATGGTTGCCATGTGAAAGAAAGCAAAGCTAGCTAGGAACTTCTGGCCAGGAAACTTACGAGCAACTTGGTTATATCTATTCAAAGCAAAAGACTTTAGAGATGCTACAAAGAGTTTACAATGAGGATGTCGTGGATGATATTCTGACCAAGATACTGCGGAATGCTGATGAGGATTATGATTACAAAGTGGATCTTGACTCAGACGTTGAAAACATACTAATAATGAAAATTTTGGACTTCATAAAATGCTCGTAAAGTTTGGCCGAGCCGAATCAGTTCGAATTGGTGAACTCTCGAGGCGAACCTCCGAATGGTACAGGAATCCTCTTCCAGCAAGAGGACAAGAACGGTTAGCTGATTAACGACCTTAGCTCACACGCTTATATTAGTATCGACTCGTGACCTCGCGAAAATCATCTCAAGCACTGTTTGACCTACACGTACTAGCCTCATACCGACACACTCACTCCCATACTCAGAAACACGGATCGATGTTTTTCCAGGACGCCAAACGACGTGGTAGACTGCGGCCGATATCAGCTGATCCGGATAGCTGGCCAATGGGGAACACCGCATACATTGGTACTAAATAGCGTTCAATCAACGCATTACAAAAACAGTCCCAATACACAAACACGCGCAGACCGACCTCGCGAGCACCAGGAGGGGACCAGGGAGAGCGGCTATAAGGCCCCGGTCCCATAGCTACGTATGAATACGGACGGATACGGACGCGAATCGCAACTCTAGTAACATCACTAAAAATATCTAGTTCGATTATTTAGTACCAACACTACCGGTAGTGAGCAAAAGTAACCGTTGTTTAAAACTGTAGCGCCGAACGTACCACATTTAATGTAACGCCTATCTAACCTTATACATTATTGCCGTCTATAAGATGGCAAATGATAGAGAATTGATAGACTTTCAACTACAATTAGTGGAATTAGGCCTTAATTTTATGGAAGTACTTGAATATATGAGAAGAAGAAGAAAAAATATATAAATGATATGTATTAATCACCCCAAAAGCTTTTTTACATTAGCATACTCATCAATAAGCAATATTCATGAGAATTTGAAAAGTAAATTGTAGACCTGACATTTGAACATTAATTGTGGTACGTTCGGCGCTACAGTTTTAAACAACAGTTACTTTTGCTCACTACCGGTAGTGTTGGTACTAAATAATCGAACTAGATATGTTTAGTGATGTTACTAGAGTTGCAATTCGCGTCCGTATCCGTCCGCATTGGCTGCGTCCACATAAACGAGCCCGATCGGACCTGACCCGACTTAGGGTCTGTCTCCATGAGTTCCCTCCCGGTCCTAGATTTTGTATGCGGACGCCATCTCTATCATTTCGAGTTCAATGGCGAGTTTCATACGGAATGCGAGAAACGCATCTATGAAGTTGCTGTATCCGTGGTTTGAAGTTTCCTGTGCTCAGTGCTCATGAAATGACTACATGTTCCCGCTCCAATTTTATTCAACGCATACGTGCAATTCGGTAAGTTGATAATTACAACTAATTCCTACATTTATTTGTAGAAAATTGCAAATTACAAAATGCCCAAAAAAGGTACGCTATCATAGTTATAATTGTTATATTCTTTGTATAGTCATAGTTATATTTCTTTGTGCTCGCTACAATGCTATTCTGAGACGCAGTTACTCCAAAATGGACGGCCATATTAAATAGTTTGTTCATTAATGCAAACTGTAACGTCTACATTAAAAATTTATGATAAAAAAATTTTGTGTATATATATATAAATATTTTACATTTTGTGAATAAAACAGTTATGATTATAAATATATAAAACATAATTATTATTTCATTTTGTTTGCAGAACAATCATCGTTAACAAATGTATCACAGGCAATGGTTGCCATGTGAAAGAAAGCAAAGCCAGCTAGGAACTTCTGGCCAGGGAACTTACGAGCAACTTGGTTATATCTATTCAAAGCAAAAGACTTTAGAGATGCTACAAAGAGTTTACAATGAGGATGTCGAGGATGATATTCTGACCAAGATACTGCGGAATGCTGATGAGGATTATGAGTACAAAGTGGATCTTGACTCAGACGATGAAAATGTACATTGACTGAGATTGTATGTAATAGTTTTGAACAAAGCTCATCTGTTCTTTTTTTATTGCAGCTGCGACTTCTTTAGGAAAACGTCTGAAAAACATCAACTTGGATAATGCTGATGAATTGCGGTCTGCACTAACACCATCAGAGAGACAAGACTTTGAAGCAATGATCAGTAGTGGAGAGGCTTTAAAGTTACTTCCTCAGTGGAATCCTTGGTGGAGGTACACTACTAAAGAAAAGCTGTTTCAAGATTTAACCAACAACGATCAGGACCAAACCTTTTCAGGTAAATTGAATACTATTTAAATGAGATTTCATGAAATATTTTCTTTAGTGCCTCTTTATAGGTGATGTTCATTTTAACATTTATCAGTCCTTCAGTTTCATTAGAGAACCACATTATGCATTTCGAAAAATTATTGCTGTCTACATTTTCTATGTTTAGACGGACAATACGAAACGCTACCGGCACGTAGCGACGAAAATCGTTTTTCATGATATACTTAATGTTGAATTTCATGTTTTCATTCAATACTTTATCCTGAATCTCATCAATTGGAGGAAGCGGGTGTACAGCATTGGGAACAATGGAGGACAACAATGCTATCACTAACAACTATAGCATTAACAAATGGTCTTTATGGCAAACATATTTGTTTCGCAGTGTCTGGCCAACAAAGAAGAATTTTATCAACGTATCTCTGAAGAAATTGAAAATATCGCTGGAAAAACGTTCGTCTCAGGTCATTGACACCAAGGACCTGCTTGACGAATGGCATGCTGCTTGCGTAACCAGTAGACACCTGTGGAAAGACGCCAAAGATGAAATACGGGATATTATTTTGTCATCCGATTGAGTAATTTAATCTCTGTCAAAGATGTATCAAATAAAATTAAAATAAAATAATATGTATTGCAGTTAGTTATTTAAAATTCCCATTCATTGAGATTGAGGTTATAAAAACGCGTTTTTTTAAATAGTATTCAATTTACCTGAAAAGGTTTGGTCCTGATCGTTGTTGGTTAAATCTTGAAACAGCTTTTCTTTAGTAGTGTACCTCCACCAAGGATTCCACTGAGGAAGTAACTTTAAAGCCTCTCCACTACTGATCATTGCTTCAAAGTCTTGTCTCTCTGATGGTGTTAGTGCAGACCGCAATTCATCAGCATTATCCAAGTTGATGTTTTTCAGACGTTTTCCTAAAGAAGTCGCAGCTGCAATAAAAAAAGAACAGATGAGCTTTGTTCAAAACTATTACATACAATCTCAGTCAATGTACATTTTCATCGTCTGAGTCAAGATCCACTTTGTACTCATAATCCTCATCAGCATTCCGCAGTATCTTGGTCAGAATATCATCCTCGACATCCTCATTGTAAACTCTTTGTAGCATCTCTAAAGTCTTTTGCTTTGAATAGATATAACCAAGTTGCTCGTAAGTTCCCTGGCCAGAAGTTCCTAGCTGGCTTTGCTTTCTTTCACATGGCAACCATTGCCTGTGATACATTTGTTAACGATGATTGTTCTGCAAACAAAATGAAATAATAATTATGTTTTATATATTTATAATCATAACTGTTTTATTCACAAAATGTAAAATATTTATATATATACACACAAAATTTTTTTATCATAAATTTTTAATGTAGACGTTACAGTTTGCATTAATGAACAAACTATTTAATATGGCCGTCCATTTTGGAGTAACTGCGTCTCAGAATAGCATTGTAGCGAGCACAAAGAAATATAACTATGACTATACAAAGAATATAACAATTATAACTATGATAGCGTACCTTTTTTGGGCATTTTGTAATTTGCAATTTTCTACAAATAAATGTAGGAATTAGTTGTAATTATCAACTTACCGAATTGCACGTATGCGTTGAATAAAATTGGAGCGGGAACATGTAGTCATTTCATGAGCACTGAGCACAGGAAACTTCAAACCACGGATACAGCAACTTCATAGATGCGTTTCTCGCATTCCGTATGAAACTCGCCATTGAACTCGAAATGATAGAGATGGCGTCCGCATACAAAATCTAGGACCGGGAGGGAACTCATGGAGACAGACCCTAAGTCGGGTCAGGTCCGATCGGGCTCGTTTATGTGGACGCAGCCAATGCGGACGGATACGGACGCGAATCGCAACTTTAGTAACATCACTAAAAATATCTAGTTCGATTATTTAGTACCAACACTACCGGTAGTGAGCAAAAGTAACTGTTGTTTAAAACTGTAGCGCCGAACGTACCACAATTAATGTTCAAATGTCAGGTCTACAATTTACTTTTCAAATTCTCATGAATATTGCTTATTGATGATTATGCTAATGTAAAAAAGCTTTTGGGGTGATTAATACATATCATTTATATATTTTTTCTTCTTCTTCTCATATATTCAAGTACTTCCATAAAATTAAGGCCTAATTCCACTAATTGTAGTTGAAAGTCTATCAATTCTCTATCATTTGCCATCTTATAGACGGCAATAATGTATAAGGTTAGATAGGCGTTACATTAAATGTGGTACGTTCGGCGCTACAGTTTTAAACAACAGTTACTTTTGCTCACTACCGGTAGTGTTGGTACTAAATAATCGAACTAGATATTTTTAGTGATGTTACTAGAGTTGCGATTCGTGTCCGTATCCGTCCGTATTCATACGTAGCTATGGGACCGGGGCCTTATAGCCGCTCTCCCTGGTCCCCTCCTGGTGCTCGCGAGGTCGGTCTGCGCGTGTTTGTGTATTGGGACTGTTTTTGTAATGCGTTGATTGAACGCTATTTAGTACCAATGTATGCGGTGTTCCCCATTGGCCAGCTATCCGGATCAGCTGATATCGGCCGCAGTCTTCCACGTCGTTTGGCGTCCTGGAAAAACATCGATCCGTGTTTCTGAGTATGGGAGTGAGTGTGTCGGTATGAGGCTAGTACGTGTAGGTCAAACAGTGCTTGAGATGATTTTCGCGAGGTCACGAGTCGATACTAATATAAGCGTGTGAGCTAAGGTCGTTAATCAGCTAACCGTTCTTGTCCTCTTGCTGGAAGAGGATTCCTGTACCATTCGGAGGTTCGCCTCGAGAGTTCACCAATTCGAACTGATTCGGCTCGGCCAAACTTTACGAGCATTTTATGAAGTCCAAAATTTTCATTATTAGTATGTTCGTATACCCCATATTATATTATTCAAACAGCTAATGTCAAATGTAATATTTTTATGCTAGTGTCACTATAAATATATATTACTTTAACACGATATATATTTTGAAAAAGTTTTGTTATTCTTGACACTCTCCATTTTGCATATTTTGAAAAAATTATGAAAATAATAATAATAAATACAATCATTTGCAATTATCTAAAAGATTTTATAAAACGTCTGTATATTTGCAGGCCAGCAAAGGAGCGTTTACGCGGCTACTTTCGCTTCTCAAATCGACGCCATACGCGAGTTTGTCGAGAGCACAGTCGTGGATCTATCGGGCATTTACCACGATACTCTTGTCCAAAAGCCTATTCTACCAGTTGTACACCGCGATCACGGGCTGATAGTGGAGTTTCAGGTAACGGTAACGCCAGTGACGAATCGAACACTTGCAAGTTATATAGATCTTGCATTTTACCATCACGTTTAGATTAAAATATATCTGTGGTTAGTATAAAAAAAAATATTCTTCCTAAAGAAAATAAAACGTAAACTTCAAATTCATTACTTAACCAATATTTCAATTTTATGCAATAATAAGAAAATTATAACGCATATTGTGCATATTTATCATTTTATACCCTCCTAATACAGTTTTTTTCATAAATGCGGTATTTCAGATTGTCCAAAGAAATTTACATTTCTTTTGCACTTATAAATTATACAAATATCTTTTTATAAGACGTCTATAACAAAATTCTCTAAGTATTTTGCTTACTTAAAATTACATTTTATCAATACTAATATATTACATGGTTTATGTCTCTTGAATCATTTAAATTGTTGCAGTAATTTTGTATAGATTTTGCAACGAAAATCATCAACGTGACTATGTATATGGATTCTTCTAATGATGTTTAAAAAATAGTTTTATAAAAAACTAATTTCGAAGATTCACAAAAATCTTAATTTTTATTAAACATTTGAATCAAGATTACTTTTTTTTCCGAGTAATGAATGATATTTTTTAGTACTTTCGATTGTTACTTCTATATATTAAAGCTTTTAAATGATCATTATATATAGCACAAGTATTTCTATTTATCCTATATTACCACAAATAAATAATAAGTTTCGAGTTATGTTTAGTACATTTCAAATAAATAATTAAAAATATTGAATGTAATAATAATAGATGTATAAGAAGTAATAAAGTACTAAAGTATAAAAGTAAAGTATAAAAGTAATAAAAATAAAAAAAACGTGATTGGTGGATGTACCTAATATTTGTTATAAAAAATAACTTGATGCGAAAAAAGTCATACTGATATCATACCATGGTTCATACTAATAATAAAATTCAGTGTAAATTGTTTTATAGGTGTAATTATATATATACACACACACACGAACACACACACACACACACACACACACAGGGTCTTAAAAAAGTTCAGAAACACCAAAAAATTTTCCAGACAAAGTAATTCTTCAAAATGGTCAAGATCATTCTTGAAGTAACTTTTTACAAGGAATCCATTGGTGATCTTGAATGTGACCTCGAGCGTGACTTTCAAGGTTATTTGTGGGTCAGTTTTGTTTTATTTTAATGAAAAACCCTATTTTTGACCCCGAATTCGGAAAGAGCGGGAAATTCTATATTCAGATAAAGTAAAATAGCTTGGGTCTGAGTGATCCCCAAGGTGACCTTCCAATAACCTTGAGCATGACCTCCAAGGTCAAAGGCAAAGTCATAGGAATATGGCTTGGTCGAAATTGAGCAATTTTTGTCAAAAATATTTTTTGTTAAACTTTACCCTTACCCGATCATTTGGGTGAAAAGATTAAGAAAAAAATAAGGCTTATCTCTTACACATGACCTTGGAGGTCACTTAGATCCCAACTATTTTACCTTATGTGAATGTCATATTTCCTACTATTTTTTAATCCCGGGTCAAAAAGAGAGGTTCCCATTAAAAAAAACAAAGCTGACCTTAAAATAACGTTGAAGGTCATGCTCAAGGTTATATTCAAGGTCACCAATGGATTCTTCGTAAAAAGTTACTTCAATAATGATCTTGAACATTTTGAAAAATTACTTTGTCTGAAAAATATTTGGGTGTTTCCAGTCTTTCTAGACACCCGGTATATTACTTAGCATAAGGAAGTCATGAAAATACTATTTAGCACTAAGTTCTCTTTATAACTACGTAAGATGTTACGAAAAATATTAATTAATAGAAGTTTCTAAGAAGACAAATTACTAAATGTATAAGTATAATAAAAATTAAATTACATATATTTTTACAACGTAAATATATTACTCTATTACAGTTTCTGTTAGTTATTAAATATGTTGTATCTATATAATTGATAAATAAAGTTATCTCTTTATGTTGAAACACTCTATGTTGAAACCAATATTTTCATTCTAATTATATATTTTTTTATGTTAAACCTGTTGAAATTTCATTTAGAGCTATTATTAGAGGATTCTTTTGTTTTTTTGTATACGAGTATTCTTTTTGAGTTCTTATGTTATTACTTACAAATTTTTTTGAGATGAAATATAAAAGCGAAACTAATGCCGACATTACAATCAATTGCTTTAAAAGACATTATTTATGTACATAATTTGAAAAGGGTACTTTGTAAAAACATTTAGTCAATCTTCAGTTGCTATTACTGAAGGGAAAAACATACAAATTTAATTGTGACTTTAAAAAAAATAATTAGAGATTTTTTATTACGATTTTTTATATTTTATTTTTGTATGACTTTTTAACTTAACTAAATCTTTTAGCTATAACAATTATATATTATTACCATTGAGATAGTGCATAATAGACAAGATCTATTACGAAAGTTATCAACTGAAATATACTTTAGCGGTAAAAACGTTTACAGTAGTTTGATTTACCTTAATTGTAAGATATTTAAGAGAAAATGATGATAAGCATCTGAAGTTTGCTAATCAACTGAATTATTTAATAAGTACTTTTGAAACTATATTTATTTGTTATAATCTGAGCTTTGTTAAAAAATATTGTCAAGGTATCCGTTTAGTCAAATTCAAATGGAAAATGTTACTTCACCTTTATTGAACATATTTCGAATTGACCATTCATGAAGACATATAGCCCTGCTTCATGGTAATATATAGAGTCCTGTTTTTACGTGAAATATGTTATTAGACCGAAAATAGTAGATAAACTAGGCAGGCCACAGATCGGGGGGGGGGGCCTCAGATTATGGGGAAGGGGCTTCAGATCAGTGATCTGAAGTGCATGATCTATAAGATCAGCACTCTTAGATCACTCATAGCCCCCCTCTCCTCCTGAGATCTATGAGAGCAGGGGCCCCCGCCGCCGCCCCTCTGTAATCTGAGGCGTATGAGCTATCAGATCAGCACTGTTAGATCATGCGCAAGAGCCCCCCCCCCCCCACCCACCAAATGTGAAATGCGTTTTAAATATTAAAATAAATTTATGTATTTAATTGAATTTAATTAATTTGACGCAATCGATTTACGTGTAATGCACAGATTTAGTAAAAAAAATTATATACTGATTATTAATTCATGAAATAGTGAAGTAGAGGAGGAAGGTAATAGTAAATATACACATTGTTTTTTTTAAATAAAATTTTTTTTATTGATAAAAAATAAATCTTATTCGATAAGTCATTTACATTAAAAGAATATTCATAGAAATCCTTCAATAATTTCATCGCTCTCTTCCCAATCCATACAGCAACCACTTAAATAAA